ATTCTAAAATGTGTGTAGGATAGAACTAAACATATCCATGACAGCAGGGCTTTGAAAGGATTTTTATGAAATCTATGGAAGGAAAAAAAAACACGCTAATAATGTACAGTAGAGTTTATAAATTGTGTGCAGCAATGCAGAAAAAATACAGCAGCCCTATAAAGCGCCACCTACATTATCAAATATTTTAAATTGCGTACAGTTGGCCCTGCACATAAGAGCTCGTTAGATGACAATTGAAATTGAGCAGATGTTTGCAGCTATCAACAATAGGATTCCGGGGAGCACTTTGCATGCACTATCAGCACTACAAATTGGCAACACATATCCCCACGTGACAGCGTAATGCATTTCGAGCCCCCCCCCCCCCCCCCCAAAAGCAGAAAGTGCAAATCTTTATGATCCACCGAACATCTGTGGCCCAGTACCTCTCTTTTGGTTATTTTTTTCATATTTTGCTTCCTGCGGCGTGCAAACATCAGCAGACACTTTGTAAGAGAGATGTCAGCTATCGCGTGCTGTCACAGGCTGCAAAGAAAGGTCGGGGTCAATTACTGGTGACGGTTGATTTTTTTTTTTAAAGCCGCTATTTTAAATGTTTCTGCCGAGGCCAGTCATCTGAAGACGGATGGCCCTGACTTCATAGATGCAACGCCAAAGAATAAATGCTTATATTTTAATGCAGCTGACATACAAGTAACATCCCAGTTTACGCCGGAGGGGGGAGGGGAGGAATGAGTTCCTGAAAGGTGCGACTACGAAAAATCGAAACGATGCAAATCAAAGCGATTTACAGGCTCGGTGGTGGAGGCCAAGGCTGAGAGGTGACAGATAACGAGAGAGGATGGACGATGCCGTCAGCGACGTTTGGGTTCAGGCGATGCAAAATTGGGTAGTGGTGTGAATAAAGTGATGACGTATTTGCAAATCGATGTAAAAGGCGGGGGGGGGGGGGCGCTGTGAATCGGGGTACCAGTAAATACCAAGGGTGAACATGCTTTTAGTAATATAATAATTAGACTGTCTGCTTTGTAAAACAGTATTTCATTTAAAATACAAAAACATCGTCATCTGGATTAAATGTATGTGAAACCTGCCGAAAGGAAGCATGTTAATTTTTCCTAGTGCTGATAGTGCATGCAAAGACATTGCAAAATTAAATACTCATCAGCATTGACTAAGTAGTTTAACAGTGGCTTAAGAGCCATAATTGTAAAAATCGTCAATTAACTATCAGTGTTACTAGCTACATTACAGATGGTAAGACTGGCATAACCATTATAAATAACGAATAGTATAGAAAAGAGTTCAGAAGCAAATCAGTTTTAATGCTCCATTCAAAGTCTGCGCCTATGACCAAGATCGCCCGAAATTCGCCGAAATTCGCCGAATCTCGTCAAATCTCGAAAGCTAAGCACGCTTGAACTTGGACAGTGCATGGATGGGTCTGCACAATGCATACCAGGTGTTTTCATCGGTGGGGCTCCGAGGTGGGCAACATAGGGCAGTGAATAATATTTCATTGTGGCAATATATGTATTGTACTTCAATGCTACCATGTCCATCAAGCAGCACCCAACCAACATGGAACCAAGGTCAATTAACCCCCCCCCCCTCTCCCATGACCTGCACACCGTGGTGAGGCACTTATCCAGAAGTGGATTGAGAAAAGGGATGTACAAGTACAGCCGAAACTAAAACTGAAGGACTTGCAATGTTCTAGAATTATGTGGATGCAATTGACACATTTTCAAAAGTAAGAAAAACTGCAGCAACATATAAGCAGATGGTCAGGCTGCCATCTTCATTATCATCAATTTCGTCAGATAGCACAGTGTTTATCAGTAAATTGTCTTGCTGAACACTAGAAGGCTGACAAAATAACCAGATTGAATGTAAATGCATCCACGTGAACATCGTATCCTTTAAGATGTACTGCAACACATTGTCCCCGCATACTTCATAAATGCACTTACATCATTATACAGCACTCCCCTGACATTCACTTGGAGAGTACCCATGTTGTTCCAAAAGTAAGACTCATTGCAGCATTTTTTATTGCCTGTGAAAACCACGAGATTGCTCTCCATCACCAAATAACTCCCCATTTTCCCCATATGGCTTCTCCATCTCCATAAATGTCATTCTATCCAATTCACATTGTCAAGCATGTCCTCTGCTTAAATATTGACCCCCAAACATAGGCACAATTTGTACCAAATTTCACCATGTATTCCAAACAACGTGATATAGATTTTCTGCACATAGTTCCCATTCTCTGATCCGCTGCTAGATGGTGGCACTTCTTATGTGGAAACCACAACCTAGTTTTAATCAGCCCATAGTTTTTGTAGGCACGTTGCTGCCACTAGATTTTGATTATCTTAGTGCCCTCAGATATTCATGCTGGCCATATGGTCACTAATTCCCAAAGGTTGTTCCTTCCAGCATGTGTATTGCCTACATCTTTGAACATATCACAAATCCAATTAAATAAACTCTCGTTTGATATAATCGGTAGTTTACAGTGAATGACCAAATCACCCAGAATGTGCCAGATGACATCAGTTCTCAGAAGCAAATCAGCATTGGGCAACCACCATGCATAAATTCTCCTGTTTGATGAGTACTAGGTGCCTCGGTGAATGTATATACTCTAACTTTAACATAGCTATTTCTGTGACCAGTTACTAGCTAATCACTCAGTTATTTCAATGCTAAATTCGATGCTAATTCCTTTGTCAAGGGGCACCTCTGCGGATGTGTATACTTTAACTTAGCTATTTCAATGAGCCATTTCAATGCTAAATTATATGCTAATTCCTTTGTCAAGGCGCTTGGTCTTCTTTATCTTCTCACACAGCTTAAAGGTCGTGATCTAAGCATGGCTTCTTCCACTCAAGCGCTGTCCTCCAGACAGGCTCGTCCCTTCACCTGATGAAGGCCGCTTGTGTTGTGGCCGAAACGTCGTGATTTTTTGTTATTTTATTTTCACCTACGTGACTTTACCCAATAGAACCAAAGAGTATGGATCCTAGCAGTCACGAAAGCTTGAAATCTAGAATTCATAAACAGGTTGTTTTAAACTGCTGCAGGGCCACGTGGTGGACAGTAGAGGGCGGTGTAGTAAAATCTACTTTGTACTGTAGTTTCTATGCTCCTACCTCTGTACTCCCCTCCTTCACCAACCCGCGCCGACCAATGTGAAGTATGGTCAAATTGCCACCCACTACCTGCATGGAGTTGGAGATCATTATGCAGCTGTGGAGCAACAAAGGGGGCTTTACGTGTATGTACTGTGCATAAGAAATTAACATCTATGACATCTACCCCTCTATTTAAGGAACGAGGATTTTAGCCACAAATCTGGCTGTCGCCTGATGAAGCTGGTTGTAATAACTAGCGAAACGTCGTACTCAGATTGTAAATTTTGTGGCTTGGCTCTCCAACGTTCCGGTGTGCTGTACTAGTGACGAATTGGCCACGTTCTGTTTACGTGACAAACCTTACTAGTTGGCTGTGTCGGGTGGTGGCGGGTTTAACGACACATTTATGTATTTACACGATCTAACTACAAAAATCCGGCATTATGAAAATATGTTAAGTGCTATAAACATATGAAGCCTTATAATAAAAAAAACTTTTATTCCAGGGTGTGTTTAAAAAAAAGTACATTAAATCGTTAAAGGCCACCAATTAATTTATTATCAGCGCGACGGCTCTTGGAAGAAAAAAACTCTTTTGGAAAAAAGGAAATGAAACACGTTTCATTATTTAGTTTTGGGTGCAACACGTCCATCTGCCACCAACTTCCTCACAGTCTACGGCACCTATTTAACGCAAGGAGGCCACCCATCCTCGGAACGTGTGTGAGGAGGGCTTTATTTAACGGATGGACTGACAAAATGACTGCACCGATATGTACGGGCATGTATACGCATGTGCCAATGTGGTATATATATGTGAATTCTCGATCACAGGACAGGGCTCAGGACCACTAACACGCGTTGGACCCAGACTGCAGCACCAGCTCTGTGGATAACGTCTCTCGGTCTCTCACCTGCGAGACTCGAATCATCAGGCAGGGCGAAGGCAGCAGGGCACAGCGATCACAAGGCACAAACCACCACAAGGCGGCATTGGCACGACGGAACGAGCCACGTGCACAACAGGGCAAGCAAGCACTGCCATCCCCGCACACACACGGACCCCCCGCTGCTACTCGAGAGAATAACAATTGTCGACATCCTTACCGATTTCTCATCATTTCCTTTCAACAGGTGATTGAATAGTGTGATTGGATAAGCGATGTGCGCAAAAAAAGGTCGAAAACGGTGTTTCTGGAGATTGGTGGAATGAATGTAGATGCTTTACAATAACATGTTTGTAATTTTTTTCATATTATTTTAGTGGGGTGTCTATAAATGGATAACCTTGGACTAAAACGCTCTCATTTAACCTTGAAAATGATAAAAAAAGGCCTATGTGCACACACACCACCCAGTGTGATGAAGACATCGTTACATTGACATTCTATTGACAGCTTGTCAATACAGTGATCAACGTATTGTGTCACTCAACACAAGTAAAGGAACCCAGAAACGGTGGCAATATGTACCACATCGGGTGGCATAAATGTCGACAACATTGACGATTTAACCATAAAACAATGCCACCCTCATGAGTCTGACACACACAGACACACATTGACACCCCGGCAGTGACAGAGAGAGAACACGCACGCACAATGACACCTGGCCGTACAGAAACACAACGTGGCACACACAAGGCGACACGAACAACCTTGATAGTGACACCAAATGGAGACGTGTCTTTAACAACCTGAGAAACAAGGGGGGGTGGGGGGGGGGGTAAACTCACATTGACAGTGTCCGCTGATGACACTTTGGCACACAGAAACACAGATTTGCACCGACACAAGCCACGCCGAGCAACAATGGGAGAACCAAAACCGCAATAAACAAGGGTCGCTCTCTCACCACAGCAGTGACAGCAGAAGCTGAACAGGGCCTCCTCCTCCTCCTCCCCATCAGCTCCGGAACGGAGCGGCCACCTCCACCAGCCACCATCATCTCATCTTCCACCTCCTCCATCCTCCTCGCCGTCACCTCCTCCCCCATCACCACCGTCCAGTCGTCGTCTTTGCCTGCCCCGTGTTGTCCTCTTTCTCGTCTTCCTCCTCCTCTTCCTCCTCCTCCACCACCACTCCAAGTACGTCTCCTCCTCCCCTTCACCAAGTCCTCCTCACCTCTACACCACCACTGCCTCGCCGCTTCCTCACCCCACCTCTTCCCCACCCTCCCCGTGTCCCGGCTAACTCACGTTATACTTGGACCACGTGAAGCCGCCCGCTTCGAACACCGCGTGCTGGCGGGGACGCGCGTCCATGGTGCGGCTGTCGTCTCTGCGAAGCTCGCAAGACAGCAGCACCATTGCCCCTCGTCGCCGGGCCCGGGTTGGGGAGGAGAAGGGAGGGAAGAGGAGGAGGAGGGGAGGGAGGGGAGAGAGGAGGAGGAGGAGCAGCCCAGGGAGGGAGGGAGGCGACGGTGGTTGGGTGAGAGGCGGGAGGGACCGCGGGGAGAGAGAGAGAGACAGAAGAGAGAGAACCGCCCTGTAGCTCAGCCCACTGCCTGCTCATCCCCTCCGCGATCACGACATTCGTGTGTGCGTGTATATTTAATAATACATTTTAAAACAAAATCAAACATTTCAGCAGCCTCACGTGGTCATCTTTCACCAAAGGTACTCCCTACGTCCTTTCGTTACGGCTGATGCGACGATTGAAAGGGAGCAACGGATCTGCAATGTCACGTCCAGGTGGTCAAGCGCGTCAGCAGCAGCGGAGTTTATCGCTGCGATGTTACCAAAAGGGACGTTTAAAGCGCGTGGATCGAGTTTAAATCGAATTAAAATCGATCGAACGAGCGTGTTTTTCGCGTGCGGGTTCCATCAGATTGTTAAAACAAAGGCGTTTGACAACCTCTCCCCCTGAGAAAGATGGCCGCCCCCGGAGTCTCGTCGCACGTGGCGCGGTCGCCTTGAACGGCAGCGCTCGCAGCGTCGCGCCCATTGGTCGAGCCGGAGCCCCAGCAACAGTCGCCCATTGGTTGGCGGCGTCGCGCGAGACAATAATGAAACATTTATTTATTATTTACCACCACCACCCCCCCCCGCTCCCTGTTGCCCAGATTTCACCAAGAGACACGCTGGCATGTGTTCCTGCTACCGCTTTGGTTTTTCATGATTAAAGTGACATTTCCGCAAAGAACCACGCCATCCTGTTTTTTTGTTGCTTGTCCGAATATAATTTCTGATCCCGGGTCCACCTTCAATAATTGTCATACTGTGTGTTATTGTAGGAAGAAGCTCAGATGGTGCATCGGCCAGTCATCTCAGCCAACCCATGGAACCTGGGTCTGTCCCGTGACCTCCAGTAAGCGGGCGTTCGACACTTCACGTGGCCTCAAAAGTGCACCGAGCCTGGCACAAACACCGTTTTGACGTCCCGCCACTTAGCGGCGAATGGCGGTTCTTGTTTCTCTCTGATCCGCCTATACTGCTGGACATCTGCGAAAAAGTGCTTCGTGGGTCATCGGATTCCTCCAGTCGAAATGAAGATTCTGATTATACATTCTGCCAGGGTATCGATCAAGAAACATGGACACTGACAAATTGAATAAAAGCTCAGAAAATGTCATACTTGCATAACTGTCAAGCCATTATCAGTACCTACCTTATTACAGACCTTATTAGTCACCCCCATGCCCTTATACATCTCAACGTTCATCCTACCACAAGGGAGAAACACAAACAAAAATGTTATTATTATTGAAACGTCTTTATGCCGTTTGGACCTGAAAGCTCAATTTCCATGTACAAGAATACCGGTAAACCTTATGGGTTGACAGGTATGTACTTGGGAGTTACGCTGAGAAATGAAAAGGAGGACACGTGGATCAGAGAACAAACACAGACATTGATTCAGGAAGCTTGAACAGGAGGACACATTCACGATAGAGGCTGATGGCCTGTGGACAAGGCTGGTAATGGAATGGCAGCCAATGCAGGGCACATGCCCGAGAAGACATCCAACCACACGGAGAGTTTAAATTAGCTTGTGTGCAGGAGTTGACACAAATTATGGCCCATGGTGGTGACTGTAAGAAGAAAGCTTTTTTATATACAGCAGTAGATAGAATATGCCCTGAAGATTCTGAACTAAATGTGTTTTTGTTGTGATATTGCTGGCAGTGGTGCACACGGACACCTAACAAAAGCTCAACATGAAAAATTACAGCTCATCGGATTCCTCCAGTATAAATATTCTGCAATAAAATGGTGCTGCCGTATAAGGACAGCATACAGTTCTGCAATAGGTGACGTGTTGGACAATGGCCCTTCCTCACAGCACAAGGAGGTCAGATGTATTTACCAGTTGGTGAGCACAAGCCCAAATGCTCAAAACGTCAAGCTTCCAGAAACAAACGGCACTGTCAAAGTTGCAATAGTTAAGAGCTGACATGTCCTCCACTGAGCAAGTTTGTAAGATCTTGCTCAGAGATTGGAGAGAATTGAGTGAATACAAGTTGGAAACTGCATGACTTTATACAACCATGAGGACCTGATACAGATGTAATTTTAGGAATGTTTCCAGATGAAATAATAATTTGACACATGAGCGGTATGTATGTAGTAACAGATGAACCATGAAATAAAAAAAAGTTTTCATAGACAATGCAATAAGTCCATATTTGTTTTTGGGTTGGGTCACGTGGTGGCTTCAAACCAAAAAATTGCTGTCATTAACCCTCCACCACCCGACAGGTTTGTCACTTTAGAAAATATATTTTTTACAGAGACGGAAACATGGAGACATTCCAGGATGCTGAATTATCCCGAGTGAATTCCCACCACGTAATATCTGCGTTCAACGAGGACCCATATCGTTCAGAGAGGACCATTGCCTGTAGGATCGGCCGTTCCACCTGCATTGATTCAGACGAGTCTGAACTCAGCTGATGAGGCATTATGAGTGTCGAATCCGGCCCACAGGGATTCGATTGCGCAAAACAAATGCAAGCCCTTTAAATCGTAACGCCCCACGAGATGGGTCGCGCAATAGCAAACTCTTGTTACTGTTGTGCGGAGAGAGACGGCTGCGCGAGGCAGACGTGTCGTCTGCTTATTTGTGTTGCCAAAAAGGATGGGTCATTTCCAATAAAACAATCCCCAGAGAGGTCCCTTAATAGCGAAGTTCACAAATTGCTCTTCTCTGCCCGACTCCGTCGCATAGCCATGACGCCACTGCGGGGCGATTGCATCGCTGCGGCACTCACGGCCATGGGGCGGGGCTAATGCGGTCAGGGGGCGGGGTCTACCGCAGCTAGGGGCGCGGCTACCGCGGCCAGGAGCGCGGCTGTTGGAGATAAGGGCGGGGATACTGCAGATAGGGGGCGGGGCGAACGTAACTGAGGGCGGAGCTTAATTGTGAGGGCGGAGCCGACACACCCTCGCCCGCCTCTGATCTGTTGCGCATTGCTGCTGCTGTTGACGTCTGGGTGGTTGGCTGCTGTTGGTGGTGGTGGTTGTTGTTGTTGGGAGCCTTACTGGATGGCGGGGGGGGCATTAGTCGGGATTTATTGTGTTCACTTGCACCCACCTCGGGTGAGAACGTGGAAAGCCCATGTCACAGAGGTTTAATCATTATAATAGTTCGTGGTTAATTTTACGAATTTCATATTAAATTTTGATTTGAAACTTTCGTGACTGCAGGGATTCATATTCTTGGTTCTTTCGGTAAAAAAAAATTTGATTATTTTATTGTTTCCCTTCTACGTGACTTTACCGAAAGAACCAAGAATATTAATTTCATATTGTTTTCTTTGAAAATGGGCCCACCCAGCCACCCCCCACTACGTGAGCGCTGTGAATAAGGGGCCACTGTTCGAAACGTCGTCTATTAAAATCTGTTTCTTCTTTCATGTGGCAGGTTGACAGATGCGTTTTTGGTTTTCACTATGGGACTGCATGATGAAGGGGACACGAGGAGATGTCTGACATCGGGGAACTTGTGGGAGCGAGACACTGAACCCAGCATGGCACGTGTTGTCCAGCAGCAGATAGAGTATGGCTGAACAAGTAGAAAGGTCCACAAGACTTGGAGATATTTCATAATGGTTTAAGGCCATGAGCACATTGTTTCTAATTTGAAAAAATCTGGTGGTACGTCTGTTGTAATAGGTTAAGAGTAGAGTTGATACCTCGCCAAACGCAGGGGTTACATTCCTGGAAAATTCAGTGTTGGGCAAAACACGTCCGAAATTAGCACCGTTTCGTCTTTGTTTAACTACAGTAATTCTACATTATTTTAGGCCACTTGGTAATACTGTACATGTAAATATAATAAAACTATATATTGAGACTGAATGAAATAAAGTGAAAATCAAATATGTTTCGACTTGCAATGAATGATGATGGTGAAGATGATGTTGTTGGGTCTGTCGGAGCTGGCTTAAAGGGTTGAGGGGCCTTCTCCAGAGTAACATAGAGTTTAAGAGCTGCACGTTTATGTATGTAATCACATCAGTGTCAGGTGGAGACCCCAAACAGCATTCGGAGATGAGAATCTTAGCAACGTCAAACCGCGCAGAGCCCAAATATCACCCCAGTGTTCCGGAAAATGGACCTCAATATGTAAACCGTGTATAGCCGAAACGCGCGTTCAATAAAACCGCATAGGGCACGGTATGAATGAAATTAAAATTTGACAATGTAATTAATAAGGTAGCTAAGGCTCCAGCATTACACAGCCAGAAACTTTGGTGCCAACTTATGGGGAAGAAGAGGCGTATGAACATTGATAAATGCACCTCGTAAAATGGACGTAATTTAGGGTTTCCCAAACTTCAGTCCTCCCGGCCATCCACCACCACGCTCCGACTTTCCGTGTTAAAGTACCAATTGTATCCCATTCGAATACAAATTCAGTCGCTCTACGCCGTACTCGCCGAATGTTTGTTAAACATGTCCCACGTAACGTGCTATGCGATTAACGCTTAGTTAATAAAGTCATTAAAATTAAGATTGATATATGTCTGTTTGTGTACACGTGTTCCACGTGTGTGTGCACGTGTTCCACGTGCGTGTGTGCACGTGTTCAACGTGACGCATTGGGCGCGTGCAGCGTGGTACGAGTTCATTTGAATGAGAGTAACTTGGTAAACGTGGAAAGACGTAGGGGTGGTGGGTCAGCTGGTTTAAGGCTTGTCTGTCATCAGAGGATTTTGGCACAGAGGTTGATGGACTATTGATATGTTGTGTTGAAACAGACCATCATCAGCCACGATCAATACACTGCTGGATGAAGGCCTCCACAAATCCTACAATGCAACAATCCACACCTCGCACCTGCAGACCATTGTTTATATAACAACACGGAAAGGTGCGCTCACAAATAGCCAGGGCGTGCGCCACTTACATCACGTCTTCCATGCATGTCGCGTCACCGCCACATTGCATGTACAGCACGATCATCATCACGATCCATGGGCAATTGGCCCAAAAGGTGTTCCACTGCACATTTTGCATGTCTCCACTTTCCTCTGTCTTGTACCAATATGCTCAAGTAGTGCAACAACTTTCTGGCACCAATCTTAAATGTCGCCAAGCCATTCTGTGCCAGGTCTTCTTCACTTACCGGTTCCTTCCATTTTTCCGAACAACGCACTTTTAAAGTTCCTGTTGCTGTCAACCATTGTGCTCTCAACACCGGTCTAAGGTTCAGAACATTTTATATTCACTCCACCAAGACCACACATAATTATAATAATTTTCACTCGTATTCCCTTCCGCCTGACTTGTGTTCCTACACAGAGTTGTGTCTGCCCTCCTATAAACCGTGTTTGGTTTGTCACAACAACTTACATGCAGAATTTCCGCTGACTGGCTATCCGGTGACATGACTAAATGTGGATCATCCTTAAACAACCCCCATCGCCCATTAACGTGCCCTGCCAAACATTCCACGCTGACTTCACAGCAATGGCTGTGATGCTAATGAAGAGGTTACGGGAAACCGGGGCTGTTTTCATTCCACGAGTGGGGCTTTATGTAATGCGAGCTGGCTGACTCATCTCCGATTCGTGGTCCGCATTTGAGATGTGATGCGTGCGAACGGGAATTCGCGACTCCCGCACGCTACCCATTTACGCACGGCCCAGTAAGTGCCGTGTGGATACACAAAGTGTATCTCCGCCACTCGCACATGATCATTGAGTAGCGTTCATCTGTGAACCAATTCTAGCACTTTCAGTAAATGATTAATCATACGAAAAAAAATGTGCAGCCAGGCTGAACGCTTCCAAGAGGACGTCTGCTGAGAAGATGGAGCGATGACACCCGCACGTATCTAGGTGCACTGTGGATTACTATACAGTATCTATATATTGGCTACGTACGGTGCGAAAGAAATTCAGCATACATACCTTGAGGAGGCCTTCATCCAGCAGTGGAATGACCATGGCTAATGATGATAATTATTATACACGAAAGGTGATTTATTCGCACAAAAGGCACGATTGTGACCAAAGGCTTGGTCTTCACATCATACCTTGTATGTCATGTGACACCACAATACTTGTGTGTATAATGCACACAGCCTTGTTTTAGACCACCAACTCACAATCCACACGCAAAAGGAGTGCGCGTCCAATCAGTCGGCTCGTTATAGAATCAGAATAATTATTTATACTGGTGGAAGACTCTGGTGAGCGAAACAGCTCTTTTTTAG